CAGGGTAGGCTGATAGTGTCTTTCAAGAGCAACACATTCATCTTACAACTTAAACTGGACTACCCTCTGTGGACAATTACAATTTAATTTTTTTGTGTTTAAACACTCACTAGTTTAATGTTTTCAAAAAATATGCCCTGTGTTTGGCATTTATAAAATATACTGGGAACTCATACCTCTGAGTTCTAGCCTCTCTATCCCTTTGTAAGGTCTTTCTCTGGACTTTTCCACACAGACATGGTATAACTCCATCTAACCCACCCAGAGGCGTGTAATGGGCTGTGGTGTGGGTGTGATGTGCCCTGTTTCCTCGCAGAACTAAGTAACATGATCTTGAGCTGTGCTAATTTGTTTGAAGCTAGTTCACGTTGATGTCTGTCCATGCTTGTTCTCTGCCCTCTATGTACAGTAGGGGTTCCTTTAAAACTTTTTGGAAGGAGAATCTTCTGGATTGAATTTGAACTAAAACCTATTTCTTATTGGTTAGAAACATCGATTCCAAATTTTTCACCGTAAAAATTGTTCAACATTTCTTCTCCAGCTTTAGCAGCTAGGGGGCGGGCAAGCCAGCCAGCCAGCCAGATAGACAAACTCATGTTTAACCACTGCCAGTAAGCACCATGTGCTAGTTTTCATCTTGGTGCATTTCCTAAAATTGTTTCTAAATTGAATTCCAGTGAACAATGAATGGGATGAAAATTGTGGTAAATAATGATTGTTATTTTTGTGAATATTATTTTATCAATATTACATATATCATAAAGGGATGAATTGTGCAGGATACATAAAAATCCAATTTTCACTCTATGCAAAGAGTGAAAATACAATGCTACAAGTTATGCTAAGAGAAGTTTTCTGTACATGACAAATTTTGTGTGGGTAAAATTGTAGGGATCCATCTTGAAAATATAGAAGCAATATGTGGAAATTAATTATATTTTTAGATAAACTTATTTACACAGAGGACAGTCTGATCCAGATTTGGTGGTCATTTGAATTCAGATGATCTTTTGGTATAAATTCATCAAAAGGTACAGTAAATAATACTGTAACAATGCATTATGTAATAATGCTCCATATGCAATCCTGAAATGCAGCAATTAAAATTAGTAAGGTAAGTTTTTCCTTAGCGTTTGAGTTCATAATGTACCTGACTACACAAGTTTATGTGGTAGAATAGCAAAGAAGATCAAGTGCTCACAAGCTAACTTTGGTGCATTTGTATACACTTTATGGGAATTTAAGTCAATGGGGAAATAATTTTTGGGTCTCTAAGTGTGCTTTGCTTCTCTGGAAGAGGTGTCCTATGGCTCCCTGAGCAGTGAGAACTGTGGATCCTGTATCTCACAATCCCTTGAGTAATCCTTGGGACAGTGGACACCTCGCCACACAGTTCTTGTGGGAGGAGGTCTTAGTTTTGCTTGCTAGTGAATACAGGAGGGAATTATGATAACCAACACACTTAGCACCTTGACTCTTAAATCAATCCAGTGAAGAGCTTAAAATAGCAATTTGGTGATTAGTTCAAGCATCTTTTCACACTATTTTTAATTACTTATATTACTTCTGCGCTATTTAATTGAAAACAAATTTGGAATTGACATCATTTTGTAAAAAAGAAGCTGCGCATATGCTATGATTTAGCAATCCTAATTCTAAATATGCTCCAGAGAAATATTTCTTCATGTACACAGGGAGAATAGATGCATGTTTATTGAAATATTGTTTGTAAATGCTGCAAAAAGTTGAAACAGTCAAAATAGCTGTCACTAAGGGAATATGTGAATGTAAATGTAAATGAACTGTGGCCTATCTGTACCGTGGAATATTATAGAACAATTGGGGATAAATATCTAGATCCTTATGGGTCAAGGAATGACCTAGATGAGATGCAGTAGAGGGGGAAAAAGAGGTGTTAAAAACGATGTAAAGTTTGGGATGCCTGGGTGGCTTAGCAATTGAGTGTCTGCATTCAGCTCAGGGCATGATCCCGGTGTCCTGGAATCCAGTCCCACATCAGACTCCACACAGGGAGCCTATTTCTCCCTCTGCCTGTGTCTCTGCCTCTCTCTCTGTCTCTCATGAATAAATAAATAAAATCTTAAAAAGGAAAATAATATAAAGTTTAATATCATTTTTGTAAACTTAAAAATGCTAAATATTTTATATTTACCCACATTATGTTTATTTTCATATTTTTATTTTTTTAAATTTTTTAAATTTATTTATGATAGTCACAGAGAGAGATAGAGAGAGAGAGAGAGGCAGAGACACAGGCAGAGGGAGAAGCAGGCCCCATGCACCGGGAGCCCGACATGGGATTCGATCCCCAGTCTCCAGGATCGTACCCTGGGCCAAAGGCAGGCACTAAACCTCTGCGCCACCCAGGAATCCCCTATTTTCATATTTTTATATGTATAATGTTTTACCTTATATTTTTTCATATCCCTATATATGTGTGTATATCTGAAGAGAGGCATCACACTCAGGAGAGAGGTTATACGTGGGAAGAAAGAGACATAGCTAAAATTAAGATAGTGGCTAAAAGAGACTTTTACTTTACCTGTAATATATTTTTACATGTGATTTATGCAATCAAAATAAAAATGTATAAAATTATAAATAGAAGCAACTATGTCAGCTGATAACAGTTGTTAATTCTGGATATGGACAATAAAAAGTATTCTTTTCTTGTTTGAGCTTTTCTGAATTTTTAAAAAATTCAAAGCCTAAAAAATGGAGACTAATTTATCCTTTTATATTTACTCTCTTCTTGTATTATTGGAAGCTCAATTTGGGAGGATTATTAGGATCTATAGATTGATGTGAGAGGAGAGTCCTTTCTGTAATTTAAACTTCATTTTGAAGGAAAACCAATGGGTTTAGAGTCTTTGGGTTTATATAACTTTATCCCATATAGCTTATAGGCAGAATTTCACATCATTTATAAAATTTCTTTAAAAAATATAGTACAGACACATCGAATAACAAAGTATGTTGTTTAAGCAGTGTATTCCATCTTGCAAAGAGGTATATTCACAATGAGCTATTTTAATTGAATATCTTTTTAAAAATTCCATGCATCTTTTTTCTTTTTTGGTGTCAGGATTTAGTTGAATGATTTTAATTGAAAAATCTCCTACAGAATTTGTACATATTCTTTCAGAGTCAACTTAAGAGAAATGTAAAATGATAGAATTTTAAGGTAATCTTATAAAGATTTTTGAGCCAAATATTCTAAAATAGAACTACTTTTTATGCTGTTAAAATTTTTTATTTTGAGAAATTAGTTGAGGGGAAGTAGATATTTTGTTTTTTGTTTTTGCTTTTGTGTTTGTTTTCCTGGCACATTAATGCTCTGTAAAAATTTTCTATCATTTCTCTCTTATTTCCAAACAAATTATTTCATCTTTCTCATGTGCTTCCCACATTGATGATACAAACTCAGGTCAAATAAACTTATCAGAATGACACTTTATTGTCTAGATAACTAAAAAGTCAGGAGGTAAATTTGGTCCAGGCGTAGCTGGAGGCAGAGCTTTGTTTTCTTCTCCCATACTTTGGCCCTATTTGTCTCTGGTTTTATTCTCCAGCCTGGACACTAATAGCCCTAGATGCTCACTTTTCCTAATCTCTGATCCCAGACAAAGAACGTGACTTTATTTTATTCAGCTATTCAACACTCATGAATACTCCCAATTTGCTTTGCTTGAGTCATATGCTCCTCACAAAAGAAACCATGTGTCCAGGGGATCCCTGGGTGGCTCAGCGGTTTAGCGCCTGCCTTTGGCCCAGGGCATGATACTGGAGTCCTGGGATTGAGTCCCACATCTGGCTCCCAGTGCATGGAGCCTGCTTCTCTCTCTGCCTCTCTTTCTCTCTGTGTCTCTCATGAACAAATAAATAAAATCTTAAGAAAAGAAAAGAAAAAAAGAAAGAAAAGAAAAGAAGAAAAGAAAAAAAGAAAAGAAAAGAAAAGAAAAGAAAGAAAAGAAAAGAAAAGAAAAAAAAAAGAAAAAAAAGAAAAGAAAAGAAAAAAAGAAAAGAAAAAGAAAAGAAAAGAAAAGAAAAGAAAAGAAAAGAAAAGAAAAGAGTGTGTCCAAGGAGACAGTTGTCTGGCCTTAGTCACCCTCTTGAAGGGCACATGATTGACATTTCCATCAAAATCACAGGGAGTGAAGTGGGTTCTTCTCTCACTGATAGAGGGTTCTTCTCTCAGACCAATACCTAAGTTGACTATCTGTGCATAATATTTTGTTTGCTGCTCTTTTGTACTACTAAAACTTTATATACTAGTGCTATAATTACTATAAATTTGTTTGTAATCCTCAATTCAACTGTGCCTGCTCAGTAGTAGAGACCATATAGTGCTCATCTTTGTGTCCCTGTTACCTAACACAATATGTGGCATGTAGTTGGCACTCAATAATTTATACACTGAATAAAATGATAAATGTATTAATTGATGAAAGAGAATGTTAGTTGTCTCTCTTAAACTCATCGCTTTGTTGATTTGTTTTAATACTTCCTAGAAGGCTGTTGTATTTCTGGACTATGAAGAAAAATTAACTAATTAATAATAACTTTGCCTAAATCCAACTGATGGTGTTATGTTGATAAGTGACATCTGATCTATCAATATTGTCCAAACTATTTATGCTCGATTGCCATGTTGCCATATATAGAATTTGTTTTGGTGTCATACAAATATGACCTAAAGAAAATGGTACAACTGCTTTTAAATACTTTGAAGAGCTCTGTAACTAGTTGCACTTGTCTGGCATCTTTGGACTAGCATATAACACCTGATATACATAATCTGTGGTAAACAATGTACCTACCTAATGATTAGTGCAAAATATACCTAGTTCTCTCTTAGGTTTAGTCCTTTAGTATTATAATTTGTTTATAAAAGGAGAATTAGTTTTCAAGCTTCTAGAAATAATAACACCAATGAAATCCACATATTATAACTTTTCTCCTCCTTTTTATGTTCACAGAGACTTGAGGTTTAACAGAATACGAGAAATTCCTGGGAGTGCCTTCAAGAAACTCAAGACTTTGAACACTCTGTGAGTACTACTTATTGCTTATCTGTGAAGTTTCTAAAATTATAAGCTAGTTGGATTGCAGTTTGCCATGAAAAGTCATTTGGAGGGCAGCCTGGGTGCCTCAGCAGTTTAGCGCCGCCTTTGGCCCAGGCCAGGGCCTGATTCTGGAGACCCAGGATCAAGGCCCACGTCAGGCTCCCTGCATGTAGCCTGCTTCTCTCTCTGCCTGTGTCTCTGCCTCTCTCTCTCTCTCTCTCTCTCTCATGAATAAATAAATAAAATCTTTTAAAAAAAAGTTATTTGGAGAGTAAAAGAACAGCTAGTATAGGAGTGAAACCTTGCTAGTTCTTGTAACTAGAAATTCTCTGCTTCTTTCCAGTGCCTCACTGCCTATATTTTTGCTACCTTCTGAATCTGGGAGATATTCCTACTTATCTAATTGTCTTTATGTTCTTTTTGTTTAGAAAAGATTCATGGATGAAGAGAAAGAATAGTTAAATAATTTCCTTATGGGTCCCCTAGCCAAAACAATAGACATGGAATTAAAACTCATGATCTGTGACTACAAAGTCCATGCTGGTGAAGAGCATGCCATTGGATCTTCTTATTTTTAATACCACAAATATCCTTAAAATCATGTATTTAGAGGAAAAGTTACAACTTTATGGCTAAGGTATGATAAAAATTTTCAATGTGTAGAACACTTTTATTTATTTATTTATTTATTTATTTATTTATTTATTTATTTATTGTGTGTCTGCCTTTGGCTCAGGTCGTAATCCCAGGTTCCTGGAATCGAGTCCCACGTCAGGCTTCCTGCAGGAAGCCTAATTCTCCCTCTGCCTATATCTCTGCCCCTCTTTGTGTCTCTCATGAATAAATAAATAAAATCTTTAAAAATATATGGCAACTAACTGCTATAATGGAGGAAACTGGAATGCTATGAGAGATGATGACAGGGAGCTTAGATGTATGAACAGTGCTCAATATTTAAAATTATTTATTCTGCATTTAGATTAATCCATAGGTTGAAATTTCTAGAAGTTAAGAATATTCAGTGCTTTTTGAACTACATGGGTTAGTTTTCTTGATATAATATTTTCATAATTGAGTTAACATTTTCATCCTAGCTGAATTTATCACCACATTATAGCTAACTTTAGGGTTGAGATTATGACTTTATGCTTGTACTTTTCCCACCTGGTTTCTTCCCAATAACTTTGCCTGAATATGTTATCTCAGTATCTCTGGTTGGGGTGATGTAAGAGCATAAGGAAGTAAGAACTGCAAGGTTTATTTGTAATTTAACAATAAAGAAGTTGTTCTCAAACCTAATAGGTAAAATGTTTACTGGAGAACTTGTGGACACACTTCTTAGAAGGGACCCCAAAATTAGCATTTTAACAAGTATCTCTCTGGGGTCTGACACTTGATGAACACCATCATTAAGCCTTCTGCCACTATCTAGTGAAATATGTAGATGATAGAAAAGCAAACATCTTAATTTATCAAATTGTTCATGTTATCATGTTTTATCTAATCTTTTCTTTCAATATAGTTGCCATTTTATAAGTTTTTTGAGGGATGTAGCAAAATGATGATTTTATTGCAGTTTGACCACATTTTGGAGTTACAGCACACAATACTGTAATTATTAATGGACAGTCTGCCTCTTCAGTTGGTAGACACAATACTTATTATTAATTTGTGTCTAAATATTTTTGGTAAAAAAAACGAAATGAAATAATTATCATTTGTGGTGTTAACTACAAGCCTCATTGTATACTGGCTGCTTTATGTACATTATCTCCATTTCTTGCTGCCTCACTGTGCGTGATAGATGTTATTATTTCTATTATACCAATTAGGAAACTGAGACTCAAACTATAATGTAATTTACCCACATTCATACATCTAGAAAGAGGCAGAGTCAGGATTCACACACACTTTGATCTGTTAACTGCCGATTCATATGATTTCTCATGATAGCTTTCAGGAAGGCTACATCTGTGGAATAACAGATGATGGATCACTCAAGTAGTAAATTGTGGAAGAGAGAAAGAAGTGAGGTCAGAAGTGGGACACTGAAAGACTACTGAGATTGGAGGGAACTTGTGCTATAGCAGTGTGGAAGCCCTAATTGCTCAATGAGTTTTGAGGACAACATAGTTATAAAGTATGTTGATGAAAGTTAGAAAAAAGTAAATCTTTCAGCCAGTATGATTACTGAGTTGCTTGTCATATGTTGTTGTTGTTCTTGTTTTTTAAACTCTCAAATTACCAAATTTTATAAGGAAATCTGAATTTTTAAAATATTTCTCAAATAAAATATAATTATGAGGTAAGATATGTTTTATTTAATGTGATGAGAAATCTTCACTATGCCTCATTTTATGAGAGCTTTTTATCATGTTAATAAATCACCAGTCACTATTTCATTGTTTTTATTTAAAGATTTGGCATACTGTTTTCTTTTCTCTCAAGACTTTGAAGGATTGATGTTTAATGATTTGCCAAAGGTGTTACTCTGTAAATAGCCAAAGCTTTAGTTAGGATATTTGATTTGTCTGTAAGGTTATTCTGTGATGTAGCAAGGGAACAAAGTTTCCTGCAGTAAATATTAGCATAGTTTTCTAGCTGGGGGAATGCAGAAATTTTAAAACAGGCATTAATTTCTGGGATAATAGAAACATGTAGATTAGATTTTGGCTTTCCACCCATTATTAGTAATAAGACCTGTTGGATCATTTTGTAACTTATTTACTTTGTAACTTACTTTTTTAAGGAGAAAAAATAACTACACGTGGTTTATGCCGATCTAGCCAGTATCATACAAACCATCCAGGTGGAAAAAATCTCAAAGATCTGAATAAAATACAGAAAGCAACTTTTTGAAAGTTCAGATGGCAATGAAGGCAGCCAGGACTTGAGAAGCTAAAATCTGGGAAAGAAAGGAAGCTCACTAAACGGACTCAAACCTTCTGGGAAATTTCCTTCTCTGGGCTTTTGCCAATTCAAGTGCAGACCATGGAGGATTAAGAGAAAGCAATGTCCTATATTTCATGGTAGTTTCACTGGACTGGGAAGACAAATATTGGAATTTAAGGTCGACCACAACCAGCACTAGAAGGTCAGGACACCTGAGAGAAGGCAGCTGCAGAATAATGAGGTGAAGATTTTGCCATCCATTTCAATAGAGGCACTTGCTAACTTGAACTGAAACACATAGGGAGAGGCTACCAGTAAGCCAAGGATAAAGCAGCTATTAAGACTTAAAAAGCCAGTCAGAGATTTTAGGCATTTCAAGGTACCAGAGAAACAAAAATAAGGGTTTCGGGTCCATTGCAGAAAAAAAGCCCCTGATAAATACTCATGGTTTTATTATTCTTTAAAAATATTTATTTATTTATTTATTTATTTATTTATTTATTTATTTATTTATTTAGAAGGAGAGTAGAGGGAGAGGGACAAACAGACGACAATACAGGCTCGATCTCATGATCCTGAGATCATGACCTAAGCGAAAACCAAGAGTTGGGTGTTTAGTTGACTGAGTCACCCAGGTGCCCCAATGCCCTGGTTTGAATTCTGTACTCCTAAAGAGCTCTGCCCTAGAAGCAGTGGCCCATCTAGACTGGGTGAAGGTGATCTTCCATATTCTGTCTGCCTCCTAAAAAAAAAATCCAACCTTCTCTGAAAAAATATAAAATGATCCAAACCCTCTACAGTTTTTCACTTGTAATGTCTGGCATCCAATGAAAGATGTCCAAACATGCCAGGAAAACCAAGAGAATAAAGGGTAACTGAAAAAGCTATGTTTGTTTAAGATTTTGAAGTTGTAAAACACAGACTTTAAAATAACTAGAATTAATGTATTTAAGGAAATATCTGAAATGATAGAAATTTTCACCAGATAAAAGGAAATTACTGTTTTTCTTAGAACTAAAAAGCTCATGGCATTTAAGAATTGAGTGGATTGATTCAATCATAGATTAGTGACAGAAGGGAGAATCAGAGTTCTAAAAGACAGGTCATTACAAATTAACCAAATGGAAGCACACTGGGAAAAAAGATGGAAAACACAGAAAAGACAGTAAAAAGTAGGGACATGACAAAAATATCTACTTGGAAGGTGATAGGGAAAATAGTACAGGGGCAATATTTGAAGAAATTTTAAAACCAATATTCCTCCAAAACAAAAGATATCAAGTTACAGACTCAAGAAACCTTATGAAACTATGTAGGCTAAATATACAGAGAATTATATTCAGCCACATTATAGTATACTCACTGAAAACCAAAGACAAAGGGCTCATTTAAAAAATATTTTTAGGTAAACATACACTATCTTTCAAGAAATAACCATGGAAATGTTGAAACAATGGAAAAGCATTTTGCTAAAAATAAATAAATAAAATAAAATAATGGAAAGACCTGAATTCTATTCACAGGGAAATCAGCCTTTGACAATTAAGGTAAAACAAACAGACATTTGAAGACAGTGAACAGTATCAGGAATGGAAAAGAGGTCATAACTTCACATCCTACAGTCATTTAGACACACAAAGAGAGATTATTATGAGTGACTTCATGCCATTATAGTTGAACTTTTTGACTTAATGGGATAAATTCTGCATAAAACACTAAACTGATACAGGGAAGAATTCTCTTAAAGGTATTGAATTCCAGACAAAGAGACAAAACTAATTAAAATTGTTACCCCAAAAGAAAACTGCAGGCTCAAATAGCTTTACCAGAGAATTATTTAAAATATTTTCTAAAAAATTAAAATAATTCTGTCTTTGACAGAACAAAAAGTACTTTTCAACTTATTTTATGAAGCCAGCATCTTGATAGCAAAATGCAGAAAAGAAAATTTTAAGTAAATTACTCTCAAGAATATGGACATGAGGATACTACATACAATATTAGCACAATGATTCTAGTAATATATGAAAAAGATCATGACCAAGTGGATTTATTCTAGAAATTCAAGGTTTGTTTTACACACAAAAATCAAC